TGTTGGCTTTAATCCACAGCCAGACTCTTCAGTAATGAAAATTACAGTGTAGCTGTCTTTATTTACGTCAAATCAGGCGGCGTGAGCGGCTCGGCCAAACGCACCTGGATAGCCTGTTGAATGCAAACCTGCTGAATCTAAAACCTGTAATTCTCACCATGATACCAGCACTGTTTGCTGTTGGTATCGATCCCACTTGAATGATTGCATGTAAGAGAAGATTCGGCCAATAGGAACAGACGCAGGCCTTTAACCTTTAACATCAGACCAAGACCTCTCATCATTCAAGCTTGGGAAGAATAGAGACAATGTTTTATTCATTCAGGTTTTGAGAGAGTGATTGAGATGGGCGATGAATGCTATGATTTACCGCTATTAACTCTAAAACACAGACAATCTTGTGGGAGTTGGGTTTTTGAGTGTGGTGTTTAGAGCCGAGCAGACGCTGTGATTGCAGATAAATTTGCGATGAAAATCAGACTGTGGTGGCTCGTTTCCAAACAAGAGCTGCATCAAGTTTTAACAGCGAAAGGGAAGAAGCATTGGACCGTGCCAGAAAAAGAGATATTTAATACATGAAACGAACATATGTTCAACTGTAGTTTTTACTGTAATATTAGAAGGAAGTAAGGAATCAGCTTTCTGTAGATGACTTAAGTTTCTTTGTAAAACAGTGATTTCTTCTATATTGAATTTTTATACCCTGACTTAAATAAAACTGCAGAGATAGAGCACATTTGTTAAATTAACATCCAAGTTTTGAAACCATAAACATCCAGCCCCATAAGGATGGCTAGTGGAGCCGGGATTTATGACCTATACTGCAGCCCATCACCAGAGGGTCCCGTTCTCTGAGTGGCTTTACCCCATGAGGAGGCAGACGGCGTCCATCCTATATACAGTCTATGGATTTTATCAATTACCGTGTGACTTTGGTGTTTTAAAGGGTAAGCTTGGGTCACTTTTACAAACTGTTGAGTTTTCCAACAGCAAAATGACCAGTTCACCAGTATAAAAAAAGCTGATAGTGGTATCTTGATGCGGTACAATGGTTTACCCTGAAAATGGTGCTTGAGAAGAAAGCGACTGCTTTACTGCCAAAGCATACTGGATATGCAATGAGAAAGACTATCATAAAGCTGCTTTTCTGCCTTATTAGCTTGTGCAGCTAAAGTAATTGGTGGTATATTGTTCAGTAAAGCACACAGGTTTGAATAGAAAGACTCCTCAGTTTCAAATGACCATGATTAGGCTGTTTGCTGTTCACAGTTCGTATGTACTCCACAACTACAGAGCTCCACCACTGCACAGGTAGACAGCAGGCTAGTGAAAACACAGTATTGGCGAGTGCTTCACAGTTGCACAGGAAACGCACATTGGGAGTCCGTAGTTGGGAGGACAGCTTAAACCCTCTCCCTCTGAGAGCCCTCAAACAGATTGTGTCTATCATAGAGCAACAAATATCCTGGACTCTGAGCCAACGTCCAAAAAAATAAATAAAATGTACAATCAAAAAATAATTGGGCACCACTAAAAATATACCTTAATTCTCAATCATTTCAGTGGTGTTGTATGTGATATAGGCTTAGCATATATTGTAGATAACTTCCCCAATATAATGTGTGTATATTTGGACTCAATTAAGTGAAAGTATCTGAGTGTCTCTTGTGTGAAGGCTATAATGGAGCCTTTATAGCCTCAACCATCCAATAAAACCAGCTCCTGGTCCCACAAAGCTCCAGTATACTGTTCACTATTTTACTGTAGCTAATTAGCCCACAATGCATTCAATATTAAAGGCTCCCTTAAGCACTATTCAAACCTATTTTCCCGTCCAATCTGAGGTAAGCCGAGTCATTAGCCTGGTCCTTTGTGCCATTGGTTTCTAATGTAACAGCCAACAGGGGGCCTCGTCAGTGTAATTCCACTGCATTATCAGAATTGTTTTCACAACACTGATCAGATCATAGCACAGCGGGGGCCTCTTACAGCGTGGTACACACAACTTAGTCCCCTGGGTGGATTTCATATTTACTTACTGAGAGGAAAGTCAAAATCTTCACCAAACATGTCCGTTTGCTATATACATTAATTCAGACAAAAACCCTTTTATAACACTTGAGAAAGAAAAAACAGAGGTACAAAAGGGCAAATACAATCAACAGACTCCTACAAATTGTGTGCTGTCCATCTCTTGTTATAGATGTCTGGACTGCAGACTTGATTTATGACAACGTATTTGACAAACATTAATATGACCTCTTCTGATCTGTTAACGGAGGAAAAGTTTCACTTTATAATAAAACAGCCTTGAACCTACAAGCCAGAGTTCACGGCACCTTGCTGAGTGATCATTAAGCCACCTGTATCGATCAGCAACCCCGTCGAGCCCCCGCAGATATAATGGGGTCATCTCACCAGGAAAAAAATATAGTCATCGTCCTTTGAGGCTTTACATCGTGACGGCTTAAGTCTTGGCCGGGCCAACTGCCTTGACCTGGTTGAACATCTACGATCAATAAAGTTTCTCTACTTTTTGATTAAACACACCATGACTAAGTAGGAGTAGGAAACACATGTAGACGGACTTTAGACTGTTGCCTTTAAAAAAACATCCACTTCTGTTATTTTTAGTCAACTCTTTTTGGTTGTAATCTAAGTATGTATGCCCAACACAGAGAGGTTTCGGGCAGAACAGCAAGAGGTTATTGCTGTAGTTATAACGCAAAAATACACTTTGCAGTTTTTAACTGGCTAAACACATTTTTCAACAGTTTTTTTCAGGTCAGGTTCAATTTCAAATGGATCTAAAAATCACTAAGCAGATTTTTTTGAGATGCAACAGTGCTAAGGGTAATTTTGCTTACCCTGATATGCAATAGAAGTGGTCCCTATTGAAAATCCTAAATTTTACACATTAAACATTTAGGATATCTGTCGTTTAAAATTAGAGGAAAAATGACTCTCCTACTGGCACATCTTTAGTTTAAACACAGCAGTGAAACAAGGTGCCAGGGGGACGTTAATCAGAACTACAGCCTCCCACAAGCTGATCAGGATAAAGTTCAGAGAAATTTACACCACATGACCTAGAGTAGGAAAGAGGTGGGCTCGACTGAGTGTACTGGCTTTATAGATGTATGGATATAAATGTCAAAGAAGCGTTAAAAATGAGTGCCTTTGCTTCATTTCTTGCAGGATATTTTATGAAATGAAAAAAAAAAGGAGTCTGGAGCATTGTCAGTGCAGATAAGAGGAGAACTGGGCCTTGTGTCAGTGCACCCGTTAATGCCATTGCCTTCAATAAATTCAATATTAAAAAAAAAACTGCTTTTACACACAGCCTTCAGCGCTGCATGTCAGCACCTGTGTGTGATCGATCTTGAAGCAGTTTGTGGCACTAAAGTTGTTCCCTCCTGTCCAGGCCCTTTTTTGTGTTGTGCTTCACTGTTGGATGTACACCACTTTGGACAAAAGCATCTGTTAGATTAAAATGAAGTATTGTAGAAAAAAAAACCCTGTTGTCATCTGATGGTTTGACTCAAAGCCTAATAGCAGAGTGATCTCAACCAAGAGGTTTGTATGATACCATACTTTGAGTGATTCAAAGCCACTTCACCTTTGTTTTGTCATAAACAGTTCATCAACTCAAACAGAGACAGCAGGCTCTATAACAGTATTTTGACAACATGTAGAAACAGAATAAACAGATGACACTGTCAGTGTGTCTCAGCCCTCTCTGTCTCCTTTGTTGTTCTTGCACTCTGTGCCAGTGTTTCTAATTGCTCAACTGTGATTGGCATATTTGAAGCCAGACTCTGCACATTTGTATATTTCAGTGCGTGTGAGTGTGATGGGACAAGGTGTGAAAGACGGTCCCAGCCGGTTTGTTGTTGTAATTTAACACCTTCCCTGTGTTCTCACTGCACTGATGAGTTTCAGGCTGGATTTGAAGGATGTGAGAACACGGATTAGAGCAGTAAATTAGACTGCACATATTCAGGGCCAGTATTAGAGCTTTATTGAAAAGCTGGATACCGCACTTCTGTATTCTGAGTTTTGAGAGAGTATTTCAGTCTTTTTGGGGAGAAGAAAACCTGCATTAGAGGAAGAAATGAAAAAAGGAGGGGCTCTGTTTTGCCTGCTTCATAAAATGCAGAGATATACTGAATTACAGTAAGATAAAACTTGTATAAATATGTAAAAGAGTTTTCTCTTAATATTTGATGACTTATGCATTAAGGGATTGCTTGCGAAAGATGTTGAAAAAATGCCATTTTGTGCTTTGAAAAGAAGCTGAAAACCTTCCTTTTGATGATTTCAGTCCCTTCAAATGATCTAAAAAAATAAATTATGACTTCATTATCTTCAATTATTTATTTGATTTATGTTTTCATGTCTTGTTATTTATCTTTGTGATGGGTACCTGTTTTTTTATTTCATCTGAAGTCATTTTTAATCAATCCTAGCAGCATCCTTTGTACAGAACATTACTCGGTAAATTGATTGAAGCAGCTGCTTTATGACCTCAGCACTAACTTCATAAAAGACAAAAGGAGTTATAATATTAATATTCATTTCTCTGAGGCCTGTACCTGCATTGATGTTACAGTGCGTGATATTCTTTAATCATGGGGGGATTTGTGATCTAACTCTGTAAAGACAGGCCTTAATTTCACCACAATGTAAGTGAAGTTTGAAAAAAACAGCACCAAAAATCTTCTATTCCCAATTTGACCAAGAAAAGGACTACATTACTTTAATTAAGACATGAGAATGGAGGCAAGCAGCGTTTTGGTGAACCCTAGCCTGCACAGAGAAGAAATAGCTTCTGTCTAGAGTCTCTGAGAGAGCTGCGAACAAAAGACCAAAAGAAAACTCCTAAAACTGTTTGAGATGAGATCTTTGCAGGAGAAGCTGAGAGCTAAAAAACTTGGTGCCGACCATCTGGATGTAAAAATGAAACAGCATTCTAACCGCAGAGGGAGATTAAGACTTTTAAGGAGCTGATGTACTGAGAAGGCTTGGCCAGTGGCATGTTTTGGTGCTAATACTCTCACTAAATTCCCCTGCCTCTTTTTTTAAAAACATGTGTGTCAACATTTAGCTTCTTTTGCATCAAGGCTTTGATTCAGTATTTTGACTTCTCTTTTTACCCTTTTTTCTGAATTGGCCTGGTTTGGTTCAAGCCTCAGATAAACCTGCTGTAGGCCAAGTCAGGAGGAAGACTGTGTGGTTGAATTAGGTACAGTGGAGTTGTCTACGATCTCAAGACTTGACTTCAGAATGCATGTGCGTATGTGTGTTTATGTGACCCAATTCCTGACAGAAAAATCATAAATGAACACCTTTAATAAAGCGGACCACAAGAAGATTTTTCAAAGTTCTAGGATCTAGAGCCCTAAAACTCTGGCCTATGAACTGTTTTAGTTAGTAAGACTCCATTTAGGGGAAACGTTTGAGCTCTTATATCACAGTATGTACTCTGCCAACAAAGGAGTGACTCTGAGTGATGAGTCTGTTCAAGGTGGTCTGTTAGTGAGTGTACGTTGATTGGTTGTACACAAGAGCCAATTCAATACCACCGACTGCCATGTTTTAATAGTCTTTTGAACATTGGTTAAACAACAGCAAATACTGGTAACAGTCAGTTCTGTTACAAGTCAGTGTGTCTCCAGGATTAAAGCTCAGTTCTGTAGCCACACAAAACTATATCAAGATTTCTCCATCAAGATCTCGCCCCATGCAGCCTGAACTCCATCTCTTCCAACTCAGCATTCTCCACCACACTCTCCAACGGTCCCTACCTCTCTTTCTCTCTCTTTATATGAGCTGCTCTCTCCTCTGTGAGCTGCCTGCGCTGTCTTTCTAGTGTCTCCTTCAGACTGCTGCTTTGCATGCTCAGCGACAGCCGATCGATACCCTGCCCTCTGTGTCTCTGTGAGCCGGGCGTCAGTGCTGAAATAACAGCCGCTCGGCCTGTTTGTATAGAGCAGTCTTTCAGCTCGTCCAGGGTGCTCAGGAAACTCGATGCAAAACAATCATTTACAACAACACAGTCAGCCGGGAGCAGCCGGGTGGTGGAGCTTGTTCATGTAGGAGAATGGAGGTTTGACTGATGTTAATGTGGCCTTTAAAAGACAACAGGGGTATGTTTGATTATTAGGATTGATAATTCCAGCGTGGAGATCTTTGTGATAAAAGAAAACTGTGCATATAGCAGCTGGTAAACATGCCAAGACCCTCCTGGGACTGGCAAGAGTCCACAGGGATGTCCTCAGTGTTCCAGCACTTATTCTGTTAATACAACAACATACTTCTGATAATTCAGCCCAGATGCCAGAGCTCCAAACGCAGGTGCTCAGTGGGCTGGTGTTAATTGCTGCTAATTGGTGTAGCAACACATCAAGGCATACGTGGTGTGTGTGTGTTTTACGGTGAAAACGCGGGGGATTTATAGTGTTTCTGTGGAGATTGTATAGGATTATCTAGCAGCTCTGTGTCCTGATATGATGGACAAAAGAATGGACTGTTTGAAGCTTAAATCTTTATTGCATTTGCAGACAAAAGGGATATGTGTTAAAACAAAGCGTGCACAATGGTTCTCTACGTGAAAAAATAAATAAATGAATAAAAATGCAAAAAAGACGGGATAAGCTGCCACCTCAGCTTTACCCAGACTTTATCTTTCCAGTGCATTGATCAAACATCTTCAGAAACTCTAAGTGAGAATACAAACAGTTCCCGAAAGTTCCCCGTAAGTGAGCAAGCACGGTGAGATTTATATTGTACTGGTGTCAAAGTAACAAGTTGCATCCCAGCTTAAAGATTGAGAAAACAGTTTTAAGTCAGTGAAAATGGAAGTTTACAAAAATACTTTCCAAGGTGCAGATTTTTGAAAACACCAAACACAAAATGATGACTTCAAAAGTTTTGGGAAACGCTAACTTGCTTGGATATGGCAATTGTTGTTGACATTGTGCATGCCTCAAGATGATGGGCTGCTGGCTTGTTTAGGTCTGCTCAATACTGTTAGGTTTAGATGGATGTTTACAAAGAAACCTTGGTGTTAATCATTATACTGCAGCACGGGGGGTAAATAGATACATCAAAGAAGCTTCTGGCTCACCAACATGCTGAAGGAGAAGCAAGTGCAAAATGCTCTTCTCTGGTGTCTTAATGTGACAGACTGGTTAGACAGACACTTTGGACCATTTCTGCATTGTTGAACATGCACTTGCTACTCTATTAGCTACACCTACTTGACTGAATATCTGATCAGCCAATCACATGGCAGCAACTTGGTGCATTTAGGCATGTAGACATCATCAAGATGGTCTGCTGAAGTTCAAACCCAGGATCAGAATGAGGCAGAAAGGTGAATTTAAATGAGACATGGTTGTTGGTGCCAGACAGGATGGTTTGAGACCTGCGTGAAGCTGGCCCCCCACCCCACGCAAAATTTCGGGAAAACAGTCTGTTTTGTTTGTGCTGGTTTGTGTCGTAAAAAATTTTGATCCAGAGGTCACCCAGCACCCCATTTGTTCCGAATGGACCTGAAATGGTGCTGTTTGTTAGTGCTTTGTTTTTGCTGGCTTGTGCTGTAAAATTTTTGTTTGTGCTGCTACGGTTATTAAGTTATTACACACCTAACTTTTTGGTGATGACGTCACCCATCCTCCCATTTGCCCTAAATAACTTAAAAACCATCACAGCACAAACGAAAAACGAAATTTTGCGTGGGTTTGGGGGCTAGCTTCATGCAGATTGGTTTGAGTGTTCCAGAGACAGCTGATCTACTGGGATTTTTTTATGCATAACCGTCTCAGGAGTTTATTGGGGAGATTATTACAAATATCCAGTGACCAGCAGTTTTCTGGGTGAAAATGCCGTGTTGATGTCAGAGGAGAATGGCTCTGATACCTCATCTGTCAATACTAAGGTAAAAAGTTTGGAAAGACGTTGTCCGGACATTCAGATTGTAGAGTCAGACTGTGGTGTAGCATGGATCCATCCTGCTGCTGCTGGTGTAATGGTGTGAGGGTGTTTACTTTGCACACTTTCCAAGCCCCTGTGGTTAGTATTGTTGAAACACCCCAGCCTACCTGAGTGTTGTTGCTGACAGTGTCTGTCCTTTGATGACCAGTGAACCCATCTTTTGCCATTTACTTCACAAGATAACGTACAGTGCTCAGCATAAATGAGTACAGAGTTGTCAGAAATCCTTTTATTTTCCTTTCAAAATCAACATTTTCTGTGACAGAATATGTAACAAATACTCCCCCAAATTTAGGCCATTGACTGCAAACAAGATTAATTGGGATCTGGGAGCAAAGCTAAATTTTAGTTACCATATCACTCTTATTTTCATCTTATGGCAAATAAAATGTTATATTAAACTCAGCTTTGTCAAAACTTTGGAAATTGTACTTTTGCTCATCTAGATATTGAGTAATACATTACTTCTGATATGGGGTGTACTGACTTATGCTGGGCACTGTGCATGCCAGCGGGTACACTGTGCAGGTGAAAGCACGTCAGTCTCTGCTAAGATAGTGAATGGACCTTCCTAAAGCTTGTCATGAATAGGTCATCTCCCAGTTCACCAAAATGACAATATGTTGAACAATTAAACTCGGTCACTCTTACAGCTCTGTACCATTTGTTCCTCCGTTATTATGGCTTTATTAATTTTTGCATCCCTTCTTCAGTGGAGGTTTTGTTTACTACTCAGTTTCCAGGCAACGCACTCACGCCATTAAACTGGCACCTGCTGTACAAACACTGGAGAGGACACTCGGGCTAGTTTCATGGTCTCCTAACATCTGCTCATATAAAAATCGGACATGTTGCACTTCCTTATCCAATATTAGACTCCAGCCTCTAAAACTTTACCAAAGAAATGCTTCCAGTGTTTGATGTGTTTTCCGTTTTGTCATTCTTTTGTTCAATACTGTCCAAATTTTCAGTAGATTTGTTTTCATATCAGTTTTCGTCCTCTGCTGTAATCCTGCTTTCAATGCATCCGTCCACAGAGGGACAGAGGAGATGCATCTAATCCTTTTGTTGTTGTATTGAATCAACAATAAAAAACTGGAGATATTCACAGTGTGATACAGACAGAATCTAAAGTCAGACTGAGATGGGCAGTGCTCAAGACATAAATCCAACTTCATACACACTCTTTCTTTGATCTTGATGATAACCATTGTATCTGCACCCTTCATGATTATTTCCGCTACCTACAGCCTTCTCTAGCTCTCCTGGCTTGTCTGGCTACAGGCCTGGGCGTCTGGCTGCAGCACACAACTTCTTTAAAGAGCTTGAAGGGGTCTTGGAGACGGAGCTAGGCAGCGGCAACAGAGGAAAAGAAGAGGAGAGGGTAGAGGCAGAGATAGAGGAGTGGGAGGAGGAGGAGGGGTGCCAGACAAGATGAAAGAAACAGCTGTATACAAATGACAGGCTTCCATACTCCTCCACCACCAGCAGCAGCAGCACCACCACCCGTCTTCCCCCCACCTGCGGTGATGTTGCCCTGTGCGGTCATCGAACAGCTTCAAAGAGCCAGGCAGGCGAGACGAGGCGAGGCAAGGCGAGCGGGCCGAATCCTCAAAGAGACAGCCTCCCTCTCCTCCTCCTCCTCCACTAACACCACGGCCTCCGACACACACGCACAATCTGCCTCGTCCACACCACACACCCTTCTCACCCCCCGACGCATGTAAGAGTCAGGAAAAGAAATAGAAGAGGAGGAGAGGGAGGGGTTGGTGTTTCTTTATCAGAGTCGTATACTCAGAAGGAGTGACAAGCTCTGTGGTGAGCAGAGACCAACAAGTGAGCACGGTCCGAGTTTTTTTTCCTCCTTAAATTTTCAGATTTTATGAAAATGGACATTTTTTTCAGTAATGATGCAGTCTGATTTATTAAAACGTGCATGAAAAACCTTTTTTAAGCATTTCATATATATAAAAAAACTGTTCCAATTTTTACTTCAATAGTTTGTCAAACCAAGCTTTGGGGTTTGGTTATTTTAGGCCAACCTTGGGTTCTCATTGAAACACTTAAATCTTGCTCCAAGACTTATTTTGTCGCAGTGTGGCAGCTAAAGCAAAAATGAAATCCCTTCAATGGCATATTAATCTCTCAATCCAGGATTCACAAACCAGGGTACATGTGTAACTGGTAGAAAGTGTGTGTCACTCCGTGGTATACAATAACCTTATTGAAAAGCTAAACGGTTACCTACAAGTTGCCACTGCACCTATTTTAAGACCAAAAAGTGTATATTTGTAATTTACCATTTTATACATTGGAATAATACTTTTTTTTTCACACAAAGAAGTTCACAATGTGAAAGTTAGGAATCAAACTCTACTTGGTGATTGCAGCAGGATTAGCCACTGATCTGATAAATGCAAAGTCAGTCTAAAGTCTCTGTTATTATTGTTATTATTGAAGCAAAGCATCTCAGCTGTACTTTTTAGGCTGTCTCAGTGCTTGAGGTTTCAGAGTAAATGACTAAATGACAACCACTCCGCTATCAAATACTTGCACTTATTCATCATAAAATATGAATTTCTTGTTGTAGAAGTATATGCCACAACAACTGTAAGTACTTCAAAGATTATAAAAATATTTTTTTCTTTCTGTCTCAGAGACCATGAACAAAATATTATTTAGTAGAACTGTGACAAACTGTGATAATTCATAAATAGGTGATAAAAAGTGTATCAACAGTGTATGGTGTATGAACAGCTGTGATTAAATCGTCGTTACAGTGTCTGGGACCTTTGAATCAGGTGTTTGTCTAAGTTTCCAGCTGCAATGGGGCAGCTGGGGCACTGAGTTTTGTAGGAGTGGCTAAATTATTTAGGGGCTTATTGTGTATGTCTCTAGTCCTTGTTCAAAGTACGAAAAGAAGAAAATGTGCAAATGCAAAGAAAATAACAAACGATCTGTTGTAACACAGCCCATATTGGTCATTTTAAAAGACATCCCAGCTCAGATAATTCAAATAGCACATCAAAGTTCAGGATGTTTTGGTCATAACCAGATACTAAAGGGGATGGCCTCTACTTATATGTGTGTATCAAACACACACTGTTATTGTGTGATGTTTTTTAAAGGTTTATGTTATCTTTGACATACCCCAGTTGAAAACTTCTCCCTCTGAATGGCAAAATGTAACCAGGCCAAGTATCCTCACTCAAGTGTGTGGAACAAAGTAGCTTGCTCTCTCCACTCTGATGCAGTTTTAGTCAAGAAAACCTATTATACTCATTTTCATCTTTCATTACATCAGACTGGGACACCTCTAGAGTAGCTTTGCATGATTTACAGCTCAAAAATCTCCTTAATTATCTCATACTAGTGATTGTGCACTTTGTTCTGGCAGCTTTTCCAGTGATATAAAGTTGGATATTGCTTGTGGGTGTTACTTTTCACGCAGCTTTGTTGTCATGAAATGGCCCAAAAGTTATGCTTTTACAGAGAATTAAAGAACTCTATCGATGGAACAGCCCCGGGTTTCATTAACAATTGAGAAGAAAATCAATTTGGGAAGTGTTTGTTTATAAAGGAGTCAACATTATAAGGGCTGTTTTTCTCCCATGTACTATTATTAAAAAGAACATGGATTCTAACTGCTTTTGGTGCAGTTGCCATGAGGAAAAGAGAGTAAAAGTTACAAAAACACTTTCAGAAACTTACTGACTCTCAACAAAAAGCCAAGCAGAGGGAAAGCCGAGCAGTAAAATGAACTTTTCATCTTCCACGTAAGCGTGTTTTTTGCGGTGTGGACTCCTTCTTTTACACCATCCTAACATGAAAGCAGAGCCTAACATCAGGTTCAGGCCAAGTCTTGCTAAGTTCTCATATAAAGCTGAAAAACATGTCCAGGGATTACACCCTCTCATGTAATGAAACTTTATTAACTTTGGTACTGACATCCAGCATTAGGTGTCTTTTAGAATAGCTTAAAATAGATGGGTGACTGCAAATGTCTTACTGTTAAAATAACAATCATTTAGTAAAGCTTTATGGTCATACATCGTAAAAACATCTCTAATATTAATCCACTTTATGGTGAAAAAAAAAATCAAATATACTGTTTTCCAATTCAAAGTCTGTCAGTATAACAGTATTTTAGTATTTCAGTATTTTATATCATCTAGATCAAATACACAGTTAATGACTGAACTGTGATTGCTAGAATCTTACCATTAAAAAAATACATAACAGGAAGAACTACAGTTAATTAGCTAAGGTTTTTTAGTCCGCAACTGTTTGTTGTGTAAAGGAAATAAAGTCCATTGTACATAAAGGTGCAATACAGAAATATTTAATCATGTGCACATTCTCTGTTAAAAAAGTGTTTACATAGACAGTGTTTATTTATGGTTGAACAGCATGTTTTAGTTTTTCTGCAGAGCTGTCAGCCTCTCAAAGACTCATAAGATGATCTTAGAGTGTCTGTGTGGTGCAGAGAGCCAAAGCTGGTATATATGTGACAGACAAGGAAAGAGACTGATGAGGAACAAATGCCAATTTGGCTGTGAAACAGACCAACCTGAATCTCCCCCTCCTTTCCTCTCCTCCATACCTAACTATCTTGATCAGGAATGACAGTCGTTGGGTGCAGGCCAGAGCCTTTCTCCGCACAGATACATGATGGATTTGGACATGTCTTTCCAAAGAAAAACACTGCAGGATAATCAATGAAAGCCATTTTGTTTGTTGTCTTTTTTTCAGATTTATTTCAGGACATCATATCGGGATCCCATCCTCGCCACCTGAACCTCCTCAGCCCGGTGATGGAGCAGGAGAAGGTGTTTTTGATTTGAGGATGTCATCATCGAGAGGAGAGGAGAGGAGAAGCTGGCTGGATAAAACGCGCACACACTTACAGACAGATACAGTACACATGCACACACATTGAACAGCGACCCCTCGCTCACACAGTCCCACCCTTTATTGGTCTGGGCTGGTAAATAAGGCCTGGTGTGTGAGAATCTCATTACCGCAACACAAAGCAGAATTTCCTCTGAGGATTGGTGTGTGAGAGAGAGAGAGACAGTGAGACAGTGCTTGTGTATGCAAAAGTGAAATAGAGCGAAAGCATGCATGTACGGGCATGGCTATCTCAGAGTGTATATATATATGTGTGTGTGTGTGTGTGTGTGTGTATATGTGTGTGTGTGTGTTCGGCGAGCTCAATCAGCAGCAAGCTGATGGGGAGGGAGAGTGAGGCAGCTGGGGCCTCCTGCCCAGGCCTTCAATTTCCCTTCCAGTCCAGTCACTGGAGTGTGTAATTACTATGGGGCCGGCCTGGGGGCTGGCATGGAAGTGCAAACGCACACATACACACACCATCCCTCACTATCCACCCTACCGCAACCACTACCACCCCCCAAGTCACACACCTCCCACTAATAGCCCCCACACACCCATGATCTCCACGCTCACACACACACACACACACACACACACACACACACACACACACACACACACACACACACACACACACACACACACACACACACACACACACACACACACACACACACACACACACACACAGTTAAGAAACATGTCAGCCTCCCTCCCTGGCCTGTAGTTCATCCTGATGCCCCGTGTTGCCCTGGGGTGGCTGAGCATCTATGATCCGCGACTGAGAGCACACTATGAAATCCCTCTCAGCTCTCACTTCACAGACACGCTGGAAAGTATCCACTCCCCCGCCATGACACAAAGTATAGATTTCTTATTAATCTACTCTATATTTCTTCTTGTGATTTGCTGCCAAGTCAGTTGTGTTTGCTGTCGCACTGAGAAGGTGTTTCTAGTGTTTGAGAAATCTACAGTTTTCCAGAGTGACGGAATCAAACTTTAAAAACAGTTGAAAACTGTCCATTCAACCAAAAGTACACCCTGTGTTCACATCACCTGTATGTTTGATCTGCACTTGGCAAAGCACTTTGAAAGCAGGTACGAATGCAAACACAACCACCATAAATACATGAAAACAAACAAATTCAGCCAAATATGCACAGGTAATGATTGCATTAGAGCTTTTGTGGTTTTTATTTACATTATAATATGGAGAGCTATAGATGAAGGACACCAAATAGTGGGTATGTTGTTTTTTTCCCATCTGATCAACACTGTACCTGTTTTGTAACATGCCCCCCCCCCCCCAAAAAAAAAAAAAAAAAAAAATATATATATATATATATATATATATATATATAATAATTAAAATAATAATAATAATAATCCAAAAACAATATTTTATTCTTTATATTTGCAACAGTTTCTTAGATGGTTGCTGTTAATTTGGCTTTACTTCATCTGGCTGCATCAAGATAGCGTGAAAGCATGAACATCATTTAGACCCACTTCAACTGGCCAAATGTACAGTTTCTGACTAAGAAAGCTTGACTCATCACAAATAATTCATTTTTTAGTGTTTACAGTAAATTTAGATGTCTGTAGTGTGTTTGGTGTAATTACTCATGATGGGATAATGGAAAAGTTGTATTTTTTGTGCAGTCTTAATGTCTTAATGTATCAGTCTTAATGTCATTGATAACTATTTTGCTAAGAAATGGTTGTCAGTTACTTTCCTTATCGATTTAACAGAAAATATAGTAATGCTAAAAGTACATCTTTAGCATTAAAAAACTGTTACGTTTATTTCTAAAGACTGGACAAGATCAAGACATTTAAAGTCAATTTCCCTCACTGAGCATTGTCTAACATTCACAAGCCATGCATTCCTGTAACTGGCTGAATTGGTTGAGGGCCAAGTGTTGATTTTATCACTTTCCTACAACAACTGTGCTGCCAAGTTTAAATGACTCAGTCTCTGTGCATCTTCTCATTTTTATGGGAGAACTTCTCATATTCAGTGATATAAGCACTTTTTAATGGGACACACACTTACAACGTGTGCTCATCAGTATCTAACAGAGACACTGTGTGGGTTTTCTTCAAGCTCTCGTGATCTTACCTCACTGCATACGTGTGTGTATGTTGTCGCCCTTGTCCTTCTCGGCACAGCGGTAGCACACGCACTCACCGGTGGGCCCTGGGACAGGCAGACAATTAAACAGGTCAGCATGGGGTAACCTCGGCCGGCCTGCGGGGGGCGGTAGACACTCAGCTGGAGGTAGCAGGACAGGCGAGAACAGCAACACCTCAGACGGACATGCTCTGTGTTTCACAGGCCCACACTGAGGGAAACACACACGCACAGGCTTGTACACACACGCACACATGCATCCTGTCAGCAGGAGAGAGAGATGATTAAGAAGTTAGAGAGTGGAGGATAAAGACCACTTCTGGACCCCAACTCTGAACCTCTGAAATTACACAAAGAGACAATTTCACACCTCAGACAAAGAAATGTAACACAATATTAACAAAAAGTGACCAGGAATTAAAAACGACAACAGTATTGCACAGATGGAAATCACTGGATGATTCAAAACACGATCAGCAAAGCATGCAGCAACCGAAACTTTTAATATTTTCAAGCACAAGCTTTGAATAAAACACAAAGGTGTCTGCTGTCAGGGAGAAACATCAACTTGACAAAATCACAACATTTCAGAAGGTATGAAAAACAGATTAACTGAGGAATGTCAATGTGGCGGGTTCATCAATAACCAGGTTCGAACATTCACCTCTGACACCAACATGCTGTCTAAAATGATATTTACAGATAAAATTAATGGATTCTGTGATAACAAGCTCCTCTAAATACTAAAATACAGAGAGAGAAAGAACAGCCTGGCTGTCCTAAATAGCCGGCTACACCATTAAATTGTAGCCAGCAAAACATCAAACTAAAATAAATATTAAACCAAACACAAATGTTTGATTATAAATTCAGAAATTGTCTTAACAAGTACTTCAAACAAGCTTAGTTTTACATGTTTTAGCTGCACTTGTTAAGTATCTTTATACCACCTGATAGGATACAACAGACTGGAAACTGTACTCAGGCTGCACCGCTCTCCTCTGCAGCAGCCCAAGTAGAGGGCGATCATGTTGCACACAGAACACCAGCCCCAATAGAAAAATAACAGGACAATGGTATTTATTGTAAATGGCATTTACAAATAACAGCAGCAAAATAAGAGAAAACGGTGGAAAATAATTTCAAAATATGGAAAATGATTGCAAGTGGAATCATCAACATTGCTACACAATATTCCTCCGAAAAAGCCAGATTATTGTATTTATTTACCATACTTTGGTTCAGTTTTGCTGACTTTAAACAATGGACATGACTTTGACCAGACTGTTAGATTGGTTTAAATGTAATGACACATTTATCATTAAATTAAAACGCTCTTCCACTTGGTAGGCATACCTTACCTGTGAGTAAAAACCTGTTTACATTTATGTTTAAAGCTGCTGTGAGGACTTTTGCTTTGTCTTGAGTTTGGCGCCCCCATGTGGACAAAGCGATAGCTCTGATCTCTTGTATTACAAATGCAAAATACTTTTGTATCTTCAATTCTTTGATGCAAAAGACCATATTTTCATCAGTATCAGTTACAGTCTGTTTCTCGACCAGTTAAAACTCCTTAGAGTGCCTTTAAACGTCTTTTTGTTAATCCATGACTGTACCTGAAAGAGATGCTGATAGTAACTAATGTACATAAAGATCTTTTTCACTCAGCTTTCATTCCCTCCTGTTATATGAGTACCAGTATAAGTCTTCTGTGTCATGCCAGTTTATAGCTAGTTGATGCCTTTACATTAGTCGTCAGCAATATGAGTTGTCATTGTTACGTAGATCTCGCAGCACTTAAAGTTCATCCATTGCAAGTGTAAACTCCCTGCAGGCTAAAAACATTCTTCACCTTTCCTCTCATCTCAGAATTAAGAACTGCCGTAACTTTTTCTTCCTTTCTTTCCTAAGTGTCCGGAAAATGTCTTACCTTATGCCAATGTCCAGCACTGTTCAGCTGTTTTCTTTGGCTTGTGTTCTCCAACTCCAACTTCTTCTTTGGTGAGGTAGCTTTTGTTCATGCTATTCTCATATAGAACTGCAGTCCCCCAAGTGGCCACATGAGGCTGTCTCCCAAAGTAAGTCAGTTCCCTTAGTTGGAATACCAGCTTTCAAGCAGAAATGAACATGTTTACAGCGTGATATCAAAACAGTTTCAGCGTCTGAAGATGAAGTAAACTGTACCTGATCAATGGTTTTATAACTCGACTATTTCATTTAAGTTAAGATCTCAGTTACGTGTACAGAGAAGCTGCTAGCTGTTTGCTTGGTGTCATCCGTGCACTGTATGTTGAAGCTGACGCTGCGATTATTTATGTTAGCATTAGCAGAGGGGGAATGATATTAGAAGTCTCACAACTTTTCTGAGGAGGTGGATTTTGCGCATGCCTTAGCTCCACCAGCACAAAATGGGCAGAGTCTAACTGTCAGCAGTGTCACTGTAGCTCTGAACTCCACCTGATCACTGTTGTGATGTTGTCCAAGCTCTCTGCGGATTTGTTCATGTTTTCATCAGACCAATAGTCAGTCTTGCTCTTGATTTATTTGTTGCAGCAGATGCAGTACATTGGAGTAAAAGGACTTTTTTTAATGATAATAGAAAACTGGTTATTTCGAGTTACCCATTCTGTGCTTCCCAAAGGCTAGTAAGGGAGAGTCCCTTGAGTTCATCAAGATCTCTTCACTTTTTTTTGCTCACACCTGATGACTGACTGACACCGCCTGTATACTTTGTGTAATTTTTTATTTGCGTACTCCTAATTCGTTTTCATGCTCTGTCTCCTAAACCATTAGGTGACACAGTGGAGGCTTTGTCTATTATTTATACAGACTGCATCTTTTTTACCGATATTCTTTGGACCCCTCTGTTTGTACTTCACTCTCCGCTGTTTTCTGACACCTCTTGCTGAATGTTAAATATTGTACATCTCTCTCTTTATCCCCTGCTCCCCTGAGAGTGTATTTTTCTTGTGCAGAGATGTTACAACAACTAAGAAAACAGGTGCCTCAAAGTGTCTGAACAAACTTCAGCCGTGGCTCCTCTGTGATAGGAGCAGATTAAAGCTTTTCTCTGTGTTTGCGTGGTAACTGATTACCAAGGCAATGCTATTCTTGTTTGCTATTGCAGCCAAGGCGGAATTACCTCGATTTTGTACAAAATAGTCAATTAAATTAACTGTGAAAGGCTATTTATTTTAACCCGGGGATACTTTTTTTTTCTCTTGTTCTCTCCTCTCATAGATGTTGTATAAAAAAAGGCAGCAGATGAGGAGAAATTGGCAGGAGAACAAAGAGAGGGGAATCAAGTGGAAGTTTGAGAGCTGGAGTTATACTGCCATCAGGTGGATAAAAGTACACACTGCAGGTATGTCTCAATAAAAAGGACAATTGTGGAGAAGAAATCACACTTTTTTTTTTTTGTTCATTACAGCCTGTTTTTTTTTTCTTCATGTCATCAGTTTCTCATTTAATTTCTTGTTCGTCTGAGCTCTCTGAAACCAGTTTAAGTTGTCCTGTTTTCATCTGGTATCTGATAGATACCTCAGATCAAGGGTTGCTCACTTTTGATGCAAAATTACAATGAATCCATAATCAATTGGTGGCCATTTATGGTGAAAAAGTCTACTTTTCAGGTGTAAGTGTTGTGTTAGCAGAGGCCAAACAGAAAAAACAGAGCAGAAAAAGATAGAAAGACTACATGTGTGATGCTTCCATGTACATAATGAGTCTAAAATATGTTCAAACATATTGAAAAAAGGCAAATAAACATGGGAATACAGTTACACTATGTTATCCTTATTATAGAAGACACAGGTTAAACCTCTTATTGACCACCTCTTGAATAAAAGTTTATTTCATAAGAGGTGGAAAAACAACTTAGCTGTGGTCTTTACATTTAATTTGGCTTCACCAAATAAAATGAAAATTTTTGATAACATATTTTTACAAGTTAGATGATTGATACTGACTGTTAAACACAAAAGGATCACACAAAGTTGCATATTCATTCAACATGTTAAAGTTGCTGAGTGGAGTTTTTTCTCATTTATGAAACTGACTTACTCACACTAATGCCTTTAAATGTCAGACAGCATGTGAAGAACAAGATAAGCAAAGACTGCTTTGGGGGCACCAAAGTTGACACAAACCTAAAGTTCCTCACAGGTGCATTAAACATCTTATCAACATATAATCCATGAAACTAAATTAAAGTAGTGGAATTGTTGTAAACCATATGACCTCAAGTATTTATTCAATGACATTGTATGTTATGGTAAAGATACAACTGTTTCTATGGCATGCTATATACCATTAAAGGCACAATGAGAAGTTTTTGACTGGTTGAGAAATGGACTTGAACTCATACAGATGTCTTTTTATGACCCTCAAAAGCAAACAAGACCATCAGCAGTAAGACCAATAATTTGCCTGAAACTGCTTTGAGGAAGTAGACCAGATGATTAACAGCAGGGTGAAGAAACAGCTGTCACTGCATGTACTCAAACAGCGTGATACATTTCACTGTGAAAAGATGACTGAATGAGGTTTTTGTCTGAAAACACAAGTTTTCACAGCAGCTTTAATAAACACAAAGATCCTGTTAATAAGAGCTCCATGTCCAAAACTCTTCTTCTGGCTTATATTGAAAAATTTTTAAAATCTAAATAAATACTTACAACATGAGAGACCTCACAAATTTTACAGTTTTATTCCTGTACAAAGTGGAGTCCAGCAATATGGTCAGCAGCACACAGGACAAGAAGAGATTCCATTCAACAACAACCAGAAACCAAACAAACAAAACTGGAAATTCTCCAATCTCTCAAATGTCACTGGTGACATGTTGTAATCCACAGAGAGCGTGATTGGCTTTGAAAATATATCACACATCAGGAAACTCTGCTAAGATAATCTTTGGAGCCATAAAAAATCTGGATTTATCTGGGAAAATTGTGCCTAAAACAGCTTGATTATCATAAAAAGAACATGTAATGTTAAGTCTGTCCTTCTAACACGTTACAAATTCCTGCATTTAATATTAATGATCCAAAATAGTAAGACTGTGTTTGATTTTTTCTTTTGTTAATCTATTTGTTGCAATTTTAACATAGCGATCATTAAGTCAAATGCAGCACCCCATCTATAGCTTCACAAAATCAACAAAAGTCTGAATTTTCTTAAGGTGAACATTAAGTCAGGTCCCATTTGAGGGCTGACTGCATAAGAATCAAAATATCTGTGTCCTGACCTTCTTTTGTCAGTTGGAACCACAAGTCTTCAATGACTCCATCAATTATCAGAGCTTGGATAAAAAGACATTTGAATCCAAAACCCATGTTAAAAAACCACAACTGAAAGAGATTTATCATCAGAGCTTAGTCCCATCAATAAGAGAAGTACAGTTGATTTACAGGATTCAATGTGGTGGTTTGAGTTTTCCACATATTAATGTGCCCTAAATCGTCATGCTTAAAAACAATTAAAGGACAAGTCTGCCTGTAATGTTACAAATATTACAATGTTCAAGGAGGTTTGATTTACATGATTTAATGAAGAGTACATTATTTTGAGTATCTGGTGAACATCTCTTAAAGAAATAGGAAATCCATTCTTGCAATAAAGATAGAAAAATGACCCTTCAATGAAACAAAGTAGGATTATTTCACTACATTTTCTGTTTTCTTATAACTACTTAGATAACATAACATTCGGCAATAACATGTAAAATCATATCTTCCCCTACTACACCAAGGTGACTGGGAAAAAAACATATTTAAACTCCTCTTTGGCAAGCAGTGGCACATTTTCCTCTTAATCCTTATAAGATATCCACTCACAGCACCCTTCACATTTAAATACAAGGTGTAAATGGGCTTTAAAAGAATATACAGCACAATGATGTGTGTTTGTACAGCTCAACAAGAGGGAGATTTATCTTCTAACAAAGGCCCCCTAACACAAACTGACATCCAAATGAAAACAAATAGACAAAAAGCACAATGCAGCAACAGAAACGTGAGGCTGTGCACACACACATGCGCACACTGCTGTCTGGTTAAATGAGGCGTGCTGTGATACACTGTTGGTGAATGTGTGTGACAGTAAGACAGAGAGAATAATTGTGACTGCGAGATAGAGCAAATGATGTGTTGGAGGGAAGTAAACAATGCCAGTTCCTGTGATAGACGGTGCAACACTTTCCGACTCATTGACTTTGAATAATTTTTCACATCAAATGAAAAGTAATTACAACACAACAACTCATGTTGGATGGTTTCCGGAGTGTATGTTTGTGTGAGGGTGTGTGTGTGTGTGTGTACAGCAAGATTGGTCAGTGATTTCACTGAGCTTGTTCAGACTCTGTACACACAATGGGCTTGATACTGAAGACTGTTTAAAACTTACACCTACAAGCAGTGTTGGGTAAAGACACCTGAGTAAAAGTACAAATACCACACCAGAAAATGACAGGCAGAGGAGAGAGTTGGCTGTTTAAATCTGGGATGCGCAAAATACAATAATTTAAAGAACTTTCATCTGATAATGAACGTATTTTTTATTTAAGTTAATTTCTAACGATGTAGGAAGTGAAAAGTGAGACATACTGCAAGAGTTGTGACCACTGTGACACGGACTACAGGATACTTTATGCTATGTGTTAGATACCATAGACAGTATAAGATGTGAACCAAGTAAACCCTAACCCTGTTTGTGAATCAGAGTTTTGAATTTTGTTGCCATATTGGTAAACGTGACTCAACCTAACTTCCTGTCAGTCTAACAGAGGCGGGCCTGAAAAGTAGCCCCCTCATAAACAGTGAGCAGTGTGCTCACCTGTCTGTCAAGTAAGCCGTGCCTCTGGTTCGCCGCTTTATGTAATTTTAACAACCTTGAAAAGAGTAACCCCCCATACAGTGGGTGCTGTGAGAGACCACATTTGTTTTTTTGAACCACCCTTTTTAAAAATATTTATTATTGCTCTACTTTTTGGCTTAGTGTGTATGTGGTTTCTGGTGTGGCTGCAGCCAGTATCAAGCAAGCACTCAGTGCTATAACAACGAACATGGTAATAATGTATGTAGAGATAATAATGTATCTGTTGAGTAAGATGCAAAATCAGAGGCAGCATTGGCACCATCAAATCCGTATTTTCATCCAGCTCTGCTTCAGTCTGTTGTTCAGGCGTTGGAGCCAAGCCAACAATGCTATCATTGCCACTGTAGAGAATTTGGGGGGGTATACAGTAGTCTTGGGCACAAATGTCATTGCATGTGTGTGTGTGTGTGTGTGTGTGTGTGTGTGTGTGTGTGTGTGTGTGTGTGTGTGTGTGTGTGTGTGTGTGTGTGTGTGTGTGTGTATGTGTGTCCACCCCTCTTTAATTCCCCCCCTTAACACTAACCTAACCCCCCCCCCATTAACGTTTAACAAATGAGCAACTTGTTCTATTTATTTCGATCAGCCTTGACTACAGCCTTTTGGAGCAAGGATTCTCTTACAAACAGTCAGCAGTATGGCAGATCACAGCAAGCTATTTTTTAGTGTTAGTTATCTTTGCATCTTGTCATGATCACATAACTTGTTTAATCAGCTACTATCTCTCCCATGCTCGTATTAGTGTCTACACACTCAGATCAATACAGCCTAACTCCAGTGATATCAGCAGCTGCGTCCTCACCAACCCCTTCAACAGAGGCTGATCTATGTACCCCATCAGGTAAAACATAGACTGTCCTGTGCAACTGTGTCAACCCCTCCACAGGATCTTCAACCTGAGACTACAGCTGAGGCAGGTACCTGCTCTGTGGAAAACATCCTGTATTATGCCAGTACCAAAAACAAAATGTCCTGCTGAAATCAATGACTACAGACCAGTGGCCCTTACTTCACACATCATGAAAACCCTGGAGCGTCTGATTCTACGCCTTCTGAGGTCTGAGGTCAAACACAAACTGGATTCCCTGCAGTTTGCATACAAAGAACACATCGGAGTGGATGATGATGTCCTCTACATGCTTCATCGTGCCCCGTCTCATCCGGAGGAACCTGGGGTTTAGGTGAAGATCATGTTCTTCGACTTTGTGTGAAGAAAGACAAGCTCACAGAGATGGGAGTGGATTCTTCCTGTGTTTCTTGGATCACAGATTACCTGACAGGAAGGCCACAGTTTGTCAGGCTGGTGTACTGTGTTTCTGGGACATTAATGAGCAGTACAGGGGCTCCACAAGGGACAGTCCTGGCTCCCTTTCTGTTCACACTGTATCCATCAGACTTCAAATACAGCACTGAGTCCTGCCCATAGACTAGATATACTATGTACAACTTGGTTCTGCCGTCCGCCAACATACGGATTTGAAGCCAAAAAGCTCTCAGTATTTCTGCGTTTCACTTCCATATTGATGGATATGGAAGTGAAGGGAGAGGCAGAAATGCTGCCAGAGGAGGAGCAATTTGTTTAGTTCTCTTTCCTTGCCTCAAGGAAGAGGGTTTCTACCTATACTGTATCAACAGTGATAAACAAAGAGGAAAGTTAGCTGACAAATTCTGCTAGATCTCGACTCCAGAGATGGCTCATAGAATTAATATGCACGCATCATCATTTATTTTCATTTATTTATTTGATTAGAACAGCGCACATCGATCAACATACCACTGTCCTAATGCAGATATCATAAAAAAAACAACATACAGACAATTCACCAGGACAACTGGATAGAACATGTAGAAATCTAGTCAATCCCAATTCTATTCTGTTCTATATTTTGAAAATATTGAATGGTAAGAGGCAAGGGAAGTTTATTTGTATAGCACCATTCATACACAAGGCAATTCAAAGTTCTTTACAGATGTAAGGTACGGCGGCTGAGAACTGATCACTGCTGCAAATAAAAAAGAATGCAAAAAAAAAAAGGCAATGGAAGTTACTGATGAAAAAAAAAAAAGCCTGCTGCAAATAAAAAAAGAGGCATTGCAGATAAAAATAAATTTTAAAAAGCCACAGTGGAAGGAAATGACGTAAAAAATGTGGCAGAGCAAAAAGAGAGGAAAAAAAAGTTACTTACTGCAAAAATAAAAGGATGCAAATAAAAAAGTCACAATGGAAGTGAGCTGCCGGGGACCAGTAATGATGATGCACCAGTATTTTACGATCTAGGCACAGAAGACAACAGCGAGAAGACAAGCAAAGTTGAGTGGAAAGTTTATTGTTTAATTTCACTTCGTTTGGTTTTCAGTGTGTCATTTGGTTGGGCCATCTAGCATCTGAGTTAATATAAAGTTAACTGGAGGATGCTGGTGTAGAGTTAGCTTCAGTTCGCTTCATATCGACCCACGCACAACATGGCCTTACCAAATGACACATTGAAAACCACACAAAGTGAAATTAAACATTAACCTTTCTACTAACTTCTTTGCTCCTCCGTCACCACTGACTTTTTTTTTTTTTGAGTCGCTAACTTCCATTGTGGCTTTTTATTTGCACTGTTTCTTCTTTTAATTGCAGCAGGCTTCGGTTTCTTTTTATGCATCAATAACTTCTGTTGCGACTTAGTTTTTTTTTTTTTTGTCTTTTTTGCATTCTTTTTTTTTTTTTTTTTTTTTTTTCTTTTTAATTTGCAGCAGTGGCGGTTCTCGGCCACCGTAGAAAGGAAATACGTTGGAAATTAATAAAGAGAGATCAAAACACTTTAGAATTAAAAGAGAGTAAAAAAGCATGTTTATTTATTGTTTATTTATCCAAACAAAGCAGGCATGATTCACAAACAATATGATTTAATTTTTCTTGTATGGTCGGTAGAAATAGCTTATCGGTTGGTCGTTCAGCATTTGGATGTTTTCTCAACCGTAGCCTATAACCATTTTATTTATTTGTTAAATTTTAGTTTGTCTCTTTGCTCATTGTTCCATTAATAAAGTTTATTATTCCAGCATATTCTGTATTTTTCTGAATAGTTCTTACGTTAATACTCGGGGAAAAATAAAAGATTTATGCCGGATTTATGAAACCGTTAAATGGCGAGCACAGAATGTTTTATTTTCTTAAATGCCTTGTCCCCAAGTTTGTGGCGTCACCACCAGTCCCGCCCATCCTGTTGACCGATTGGTTGAAGGAAAACGTTTCTGTGCTCCGATTGGCTCCCCGTTACACAACATTGTTCCGCAAACCTAGTCTGTTTGTGTTTTGACGTTTGGAAGAGCTCTCCGGATCACTACACCAGTCCATTTAAGACACAGGCAACCGTCTGCATATCGGTCCGTAAATATAACCACCTTAATATTATGCCTGACTCGTATACTATGGGTGCATGTTTTGCTTTGAGGCTATAACTTTGCCGTTTTACCTCTACATGGGGAGTTTAATCAGCTAATGCTAGCTAGCTGGACTAGCATCGGGGTCCTTATCTGCCAGTATAACTTAACCGTTAGCCTGTGGCTGTGATGGATTGACTTGGCAGTGGTTAAAATTGCTGCCAGTGTTTGTCCTCTGGCTGCTTGTTGTGCAAGCGAACAGGATACATGTTCAGCGTTTGCTAAAAAGACTCAGATAACCAACAATCTGTGATTTTAGCTCAGCTATAGTGTGGACTGCATGTTTCCTTGTCTCTGCTGGTGTTGTGCACGTTTCTTCATCATGATAGTCATGAATTCATTCATACATGCCCTGCACTTCTTAGATAAACAGAAGGTTATGTGGGAAATACTCAAGAGCTCATTCAAACAGTTGGTGGCTGGTGTTTCATCATGTCAAGTGTTTTGGTACAGCAATATTCTCTTTTAAGTAAAATACAGTTACTTCAATAACACTTTACTCAAATAGAAGTAAATCTACCTGTCTGTGACTCTACAGAAATAAAAGCTTAAAAGTAATTATTCAAAATGGACTTAAAGCACTGAGGAATGACTTTTTACACAAGGTGAAGGGGTTAAGAGGTGAATCACACAGAAGCATTAGTCCAAAACTAAACCTTGTAATATAACCAACATCACTGATACTTAATCAAGATTCTGCACTTAGTAATGGTGGACTTATCAGAATGTTTTGCAGCAATTTGTGGTTGGGTTTTTGCCCTAGGAAGAGCCTAACATAAGAATTTTTTCCATTGCCAATCGGAAAAATTGTGTTTAACCAGAGCAGAATAGCATCCATGACAACAGTTTTGGTCATGCATTGATCCGCTAAGTTGTCTGAGAAGCAATATCTTTTGGTCCAGCTTCTGATGTGTAAAGGTTTCCTATGATGAATCGATAAGCCTTGTTTTTTTTGCAGTCATAAGACAGGACCAAGACACTTTTGCAATGCAAAGTTGTGCTCAATTCCCCTACATTTCTTTCAAAGCTTGACCTGTCTGTGACTTTTTTTTAACCCATAAAATGCCAGGTTTGGTGGCTAAAAAGGCTGATTACTGTCAGACCTTATCCTCTGTGCTTCTGCAGGTTTTCTCCTATATGACTCTGCAACAGTTGTAAGAGAAGTGTTGCTGTCTCAAACAAAAAACTTCATAGAGAAACACTTGCAGCAGACAGTGCTGGGAGGATTTCATTGTATTTGGTCTCAGGGTTACCTATTGGACAGATGAGGGATGACAGTCAAGCCTTGTCTGTTTCTGCATGTTACACTTGTTCACAGCTGATGTTTTACATCTATGTTATTATTTCTCAGAGAGTAACAGGTGTCGTCTAACAATACCAGTTATAATGAGTGGAAAAAGTATCCTTAGTTAAGTTTGTGTGCTCTGAAGTGACTTTTTTTTTTCTTTGTGCCTCTTTTCAGGATCAAAAATCAGGAGACAAAATGGCATCAGACTCTCCACGCAGACCGAGTCGCTGTGCTGGAGGGGTTCTGGTGCGAGCACAAGCTGCGACGTAAGGACCGCAACCTGCACATGTCTTTTTATACGTTCTGTTTTTCACATTTTTGTCCATAAATACATTATTCTTTAAGATGATATGGTGTCTTTGCTGTCACAGGGAGCAGTCTTACATGGAAAGTGTGGTGACCTTCCTGCAGGATGTCGTCCCTCAGGTAACTATGAACTACTATGATATCATACTAATGGTTAAATGTCCTGTCAGTACAGCATGGGCTTGTTCACTCTGGGAAAGGGAAAATTATAAGTATCAAAGTTAGCACCAACAAACACCTGATATTTGTAACATGCAGATATATTGAGAGTGCTGTGCCATCAAAAAAGAAACAAATAATTCCACTTATAGTAAATATGCTATGGTTGCATGAATTGTATAACGACCTAGCAATATGAACCAAATTAAGTGATTTGATTTATAATCAATGCACTGAATTAACTCATACAAAACGTGCACCTAGTCCAGCATCCAATGTGCACAGTAGTTTGGAGTGATGCAGTATTAAGCCTTGATGATTGGTGACCATGCTTTTGACCTCAGAGATCGATGATTTAGACCTCAAAAAGTCAGAGTCAGACGGCACTCCCAAAAATTTACTGACATATCTGATTCTGACTGATCCTGTTTGTGTGTCTTGAGATTCACACTCTTTCTCATTTACTGTGGCTCAGCTCTAAAACCAGAGAAGCATTTTCAAAACATTACACCCAAATCTCTGAACACTTTGCATGATGTTCACAACAGATTAGAATTTCTTGTGCATTCATGCGAATTTGGACTGTTTTGGCAAACGTGTGGTAAATGAGTAGGTTCTCTACAAATTGGCAGAAATATCATTTTTCTTTGGCACACTGATCAAAACTTAGTAGCTGATTCTCAGTGAAATTCCTTACAGCTTAAAAAATGCTTTTATCATTTGGGAATCACTTGCATTGTATCTACAGGTGCTGGCCAGTAAATTA